AGCATTGATGCCATGTGCATTGTTTTCAAATCTATACAACTAACGTACGTTTCACAAACTATGCATGTGAACAAGGAATAACTAAATGTTTGAATGTTTTGAATTACTTCATATTCTAAATTATGGGGATGCTGACTGATCATTAACTATATATAAATAACATATAAATATCTGTTGAATTATGTACTCTTTTCATCATATATTATAAGATACCATGATATGGATAGGGTGACCTTTAAGATTTTTCACACATTACGTGTCCCTATCCTTTCGCCGTCCTTTGGTTAAGTGCATTGCTTAGGTGTGTCGGGGGCTGCGTCCTGTGGACGTTGCCTTTGCCTTTTTGATATTTGTTCTCGTTTTTTAAGGATAACAGGTCGACAGGATGAGATGTGTTGTCACTATGTACATTATGGAAAGCAATTATTGTACACATCATCTACAGCTGTACAGGGAAAATTGGTGGAATTCGAAAAAAGACTCTCAAGATTTCTCCTATTTAACCTTATTTAAGTTTCTTGCATTTTCAATATGATAAATGTGTATTTTGTTTTTTTCATTCAATTGGAAAAATCGAAGTGAGCAACCTTTATGGACAACGTTCCATTAACTGTTTTTACAAGGATACCTTCAAATTGAAATGAAAGTTTATATTGAATATTTGCACTTTTACAACTTAAATTATATTACAGTGCAGAGGTGAATATAAACAATATAACATTTGAAAGTAAAGTTATTATTTTATCCATGTTATGTTCATAAAAACGGAAAAATTTCTTTGGATAAGTACCTTGCTAGACAAACAAAAAACGTTAATGTACAATAATTCCAAAAATATTTTTTGTAATTAAAAGAACACTGTTATATTATATATTATGTCCTTTATTGTTTAAATCTTACTTGTGTCAGTTTTTATAGCCTGGATTATATTTGTACTGTGTCATGAGAAGTCAATACTGGCTCTGAGCCCTGAAAAGTGAAACTAATTTGTGATCAAAGATGAAAAACGCAGCTTTGCATTTGAACTAATGACAAAGTTGCTGGTTGACTCTTAATAGGCGATTAGCGATCGCCATCCTTATGTTTGAGCACTCCATGATAACGGTAATTAAGAAAGATACAAAAATCTATCATTATGTTATTTCCTAGGTTTATGACATGAGTAATCAATTTGTGGATCATAGTTCAGTCAGTTCCTAGTTCTCTCATGATTAAGTAATTATTGGGTCAAGCCAATTCCTGGTGCTGCGCCATAAGCAGTCAATTCATAGCTCTGCGTCGGAATCTGCTGGGCTGAATAAAAAAGTTTATAATTAATCATTCATTACAAGTTAGAGTTCTTTTCATACAAATAGTTTTTATCACAACCTGTATAATGAGTAATGATGCACAATCCGGACATTTAAAGCTGAAACAATAATGCCATGCTAACCTGGATTGCGGTTATCTTTTCTTAAGTTAGAACAGTTTCTATCAACGACAGATATATCTAAAACGAAATCGGTGACTCTAGATTTATCTCTCTAGGTTTTCTTATATTCTAAGATCATATTAAGTGAAAACAATCCAATTGAGTGTACAGGTTTTCATTTTGCTAGAAAGTAAATAAAGCATAGTTATACTAGAAGAAAATATTGCGCAAAGAAGATAATTTATATAATAATAGACAATTAACTCAGAATAAATCGTACAATTCACCTTATTGCGCTAGCGCTGTAGTCAGATAGTATCCAATAGTCCATGAATGCAATTAAATTATAAATTACACTCAGCGTAAATTAATTTTTAATGACTAAAAATAAATTATTTTTTTAACCTTTGCACTTTGACATTTTTGTATTTTCGTAATATGATGACAATTGCAAGCACAGCAAGTAGAAGTCCAAACACAGCACCAACTGTTCCACCTATTATTGAACATATGTTCCTGCAATCATTTGGTTATAGCACACTATTGGCTGTGAATTACAAATTTAATGCAAAATAACTTAGGTCATAGTACACGTACAAAAAGCATCAAAGAAAAGGAAAAAATAAAAATAGAACCAAAAGCACTGTTGTCTTAAAAATGTTTTACTATAATAGACAAAATAACAGAATTTCAATACTAAATACCGGAATACTTAAGTCCGGAATTTAAATTAAAAAATAGCTCATATACATGTACGTCTGTGTTTCTCGATAAGGTTTGTACCATTTTATAACTTCTTGTCACGGACATCTTAAGAGATAATTGTATGCTTTATATCCTTTGCCGATTTAAACAATATTATCTAAGGTACAATTGAGCACCTGACTAGAACCATCGACATGAAGCAAGCTAGCTGGACAGCTTCCAAATATGAAATTCTTAAAAGTCCCGGGCAGCGATAATGGGCAAGTGGTTCGATATGAACGATCTTTAACATTTTGACACGGACACCCTTATAATGCAATTCTTACTTTGTACACAATGTTCTCCGGACCAGCCAACCATACAATCACACCTGTACTCTCCAAATGGCAAGTAAACACACGTACCATTATTCTTGCAAGGATTTATCAAACATTCATCTGAAACAAGGAACATAGCCGTTTTATTCTAATCCAGAAGGAAATTACGTTTTTACTATAATATTTTTAATTAGTGATGTGATCAAAACAATAATAAGTAACAACATATCTAAAACCAAAAACAGACTGTTTAATAATAAAATAGGTGAACAAAAGGGCCGATTGTTTCCTTTTTTGAAACAACAATAAAAATATTTTTACATCTAGATGTATTCAAGTGAAATTATTACTTTTCATTATTTCGTTAATTGCATTCTTTTCCATATTAATCGTCACTGAAATTTGCTTGGATGGTGTTAAAAGGAAGCTATGATTTTCAATTGTATCCTATTACGTACCAAACATGTCTATTACAGAAACAATAATGGTAGCTGTAGCTGATCCTTTTATTCTCTGAAACAAAAAAGGGTTGAATGATTCTATATCAATCAGAACTGAATGCAGTAAGTTGATACTGGGACGTTTGTTTAAACATTTGTTTATTTGCACATTATCGTATGCCTCCGATACATACTTATTTTTGTCATACATGTATACATTTATACAGTCCTTCAAATTGTATGAAATAGTCCTTCGACAATAGTTTACACGAAACCTTCACATCTATTTCATACAAGCACACCTCTGGGGAAGCTTTTTGGTTGATTATTTGGTAAGATATCTTGCCTGAGATAATGCACACATGAACACCTGACGCGTTCTGTGAAAGTTTAACAATAATTTTACAATGGGTATTATAAAATAAGCGTTTTTTTCCCTAAACATTCCATACTAAAAATGCTACATAAGATTGGTATTGGAAGTATGATATGTTCATAATGATATAATATTTCTAACATAACCTACATGACGACCTATGTAATCTTGTAAAATTGCCACAACTTTCAAATTTAACACTGAGATCTTGTCCTTTAACACCTCACTCACAAATAAACTGTTACCACTCGTTTCTGCCTTCCACGTAAATGGCATAATGCTTGCATTCTGTAAATAAAAAAAATAATGTTTACCTTTATGCCGAAGACTTTAAATGTACTTGTATATTTTCCAGTCTGGAAATAAATTATTCATCCCATTTAGAGAAGTTTCAAAATATATTGATTGAATAGCATTTGATCTTTGTCGCACTTGTTGCATGGGTATAATCTGTGCCTGTAAGCAGATTTAGGGCTTAATTCATTGATTCTACTTAACACTTCTTTTATTTTTGAAAAAGGTGTTGTTTTTAGAAACTTTCTTAAACAATTAAATGGAGGAAACCATTTAATTCTTTCCTTTTTGCACATCAACGATATAATAAGAATGAAAGAAGAAGTAGATATAACAAAAAGTATTGAACAGAGAAGAATAAATAGGTTTTCTGATAATAATGATGTTGATGATGAACAAAAGAAGAAGAAAAAAGAAGAAACCGAAAATGAAAGATCATTAAATATACTAAACATACTTGATCTAGACTGTATCTCGCACTGTAAGATGGAAACATCAACGCATTGCAGCAATTCGCAACTTGTACAATTAGGTCTTTATTTAAAATAACGTTTGTATTTGTTTCTGACATCTGGAATTTTTAATTAAGATGCATGTTTGAATCGATTATACTGATCAAAATTATGCTTACTCCAAAAAGATTCTTGGGTTTTCTATAGTTCAAAATGTATGTAACATTTTAATATGAAATATTTGTATGGAGATAATTTTTATGTCTGAGAAGTACGTCCATTGATACCATTGAACGTAATTTATCATAATGATATTTTGTGATAAAAACATATACACCATAAATAAAAAGAAATAAACAATAATCATTGATTCAAGATAAGGTCTGAATGATTTTATTGGTTTTAATTTCGGTAGTTATTTACTTACCCACGTGGCATTTGCTGTGTAATGTTGATCTTCAAATTGTAAATCGTATTCCTGTGTCAAATTTACTGGCGCTTGAATGAACAAACGTTTCTGTCAATCAAAAGAAACGTATTTGACAATTCCATATCTTATACAAACACAAAACACGTAAACAACACTTGAACCAATTGTGGTACTCCCGAAGCATGTTGCAGTTAATATTGACGTGATAACCACGTACTGCATAACTCAACAAAGTAAAGAAATAAATTGAAATATAAAAAAGAAAGGACGAACAAACGTATTTTACTTTTACAAATAGTCCAGATACTCGTTTTTATTAAAGACTTTTTAAAAAAGTACGTGACTCATATGCTGAATGTGCGTCAAATAACAATTCATTTCTCGACAGCTAACTAAATTAAAACTTTGACTACTTAATTATAAAGATATACAAACATAATTTTGCTTCTTTTATGAAAATTGAGGGAAACAATTTTGCCATTTTGTAAACGTGTACTCATATTCCTATAGAGTATACCGAAGACGTGACAGTAAAATATACAGAACGTGTCATTTAATGATATTCTGGACCTTACCTGTGACTTGGTGCATTCGAAGGCACAAGAAATCCAACTTGTCTGTAAAAACAACATAGGCATGGTTTACACTTATCTTCTTCGTTCTTCTGATTTTAAACATTACTCTTTTTATTCAAAATTGTCGAATCAGATTTATAAACAGAAACCTAAATCTGCTACCGAAGGGCTATTGAATTTGTAATTAACAAAATTTGTATGTTCATTATAACAAAGCGCTGAATTGATGTTTGTAGAAAGAGAGAAAAATACCAAAATACACGAATATAAATGTCCCCCGCCCCCAAATATTTCGTAGTTTTATTAACTACAACACTTTAGATGATAAAGAGGATATTTGTTTTTTTGTGTGTAAGATAAAATTTTATTTCATCGAGTGGGCTTAAAAAAAGTATTCACACGAGTGCCTTAGCCACTGGTGAGAATTTTTTTTAAGTTCGCGAGATTAAATTATTTTATGCTTAAAAGATATTAAAACGAATTTTCCACAATATTAACGTAAATATTAAAATCTGTTTTCCCCATTGAGAGCCCCATTTAGTCGGAATTATTCATTAAAACAAGAAGTCTTGAGCTGTAAAATAAGTCAAACAATCAACGTTAACTGACGGTGATATTATTCATTTTATTAAAAATATATGATTGATCGCTTGTTTTAATAATAAAAACAAACAATTCTTGTTGGAGAAAAAGTCGAACCATCCATCCATATTTCTGTTACTTACTGCGAATTTATATGAGATGTTAAATGTAAGCGGCAGCCATGTTTTAGAGTTGTGTATTTCACGGGAGGAAACTAATTGTGTTTGATTCAGACGGATATCATTTGGATTTGTTAGTCATACACCTTTTGAAAAGAAAACTTATTGTTGACAGATGTGAAAACATTAAAAAAAAAAGCAGCTAGGAAAATGGAAAACTTGGACGCTGGCTCAAGAACGCTGGCTTGTTAACTTATTCTTCGAGCTGTTAGCTGTCATTGCTTTTCAGTTTTTCATAAAGCATACGGCAGTTATTGCTCGTAGGATACTTTAATAAACCCAAATGTCATCAAGAGCAGTTTTTCATGTGGAAGGAGTGTATTCTTTCAGACTGTAAAAATAAAACAAAAAAATTTAGAGACGAAATTTGGTGAACCGAATATGGTGATTGGAATTTGAATGAATAGAAGTAAGTTTTCTTCTTTTTATTACTTAGTAAGTTATTTATCAATTTCATCTTTGCTTTTTCTTTAAACAGCCTGACATTGTCAGAATTGTCAGCAGAAATAAAATTGAGGTACCACATGGGGAAAATCTTAAAAAAGTAGTATGGTCATTACGTGTGAAAATATATTTTGATAATTTTCACTGTGAAATTATCAAATATAATTTTTACGGATAAATCAGTAATCCACTGAAAAGCATAAAATAAAGTCGTTTAATATATCATTGAATTGTGAAATGTCATTGTCTACTTACACAATAGTCAGATAACGTTACAGCTAATAAAACAACAGTTTCTCCAGGGACATCAGGACTTGCTGTTATGTTAAGAAGTTCCTGGTCTTTACAGTCAGTTGAAAAATTAATCTCGTCCTTAATATGGAATAATACGTCACCTAAAACATAAATTGTTTAAGTATATGTTATATTTTATGAATTTATTATCAATGTTGACTTTTTTACCCTTTTTTAATGATAATTATTATTGATTTTAGTATCTGATAAGTAAGAAACTGATAAGATATATTTATATAATAAATAAATATAGAATAAGTGATAAAACAATTTGAATAAAAAAAAAACTTTTTTGCAGTTTACCGTGGATATTTTTCTTTCCACTTACCAAGCTTAATATCTGAAATGAACTTAATAATCTTATAGTCGTTTTATGGAAAAATTTTAAAATAAGTACTGACCGTAAATCAAACAGTGCAAACAATGTGATCAGACGGTACGGATGTACCGGCTGAACTTTGTTTTCACTGGTTGTATAGGAGGATTTTGCTGTTGCCAGTATGCTTAGACTTAACTTTTCCCTTTACTGGAATCAAAAATTTGAAACCTTTGTTACCAGCACAGGTCAGACCAGCCTACATGTACATACAGACTGACTAGATTCTATGATACCGGCTGACGAACTTTCAATTTTCATCATGATAATGAAAATTGATACAGATAAAAGTTCGTGAAATGAAAACTGGAGGGGCCAAATTAAAGAAATTCGGTACGTAAGGGGATTATATTTTATTCTGAAAATGACTCGTGTGAATTATAGACTTAATTTGGCACCAACATCTACAAAGAACAGCTGCGTGCATAAATATTCACCTAGAAAACAGACAAATCAACCCACATTATTAGAGCTTCATAAAATTAAATGAATAGTTTAAAAAAAACATAGTTAATTCTTTAAGTTTCTGTCTAATGCAAATCTATTAATTCTTATCTATTTTTGTTGAATTCAAATATATGTTCTTTTTATACAGATACTGTTTACCAAACTACTCGACAATAAATTTTACGGTTTTATTGCATATTTATTGATATCTTAAAGTCAGCTTTCATCTTTGATTTAGTGTTTGACAAGCTAAATAAACATATAAATTATTGACTCCCCATGCCAAGTATGTGTCTAAAAAGTTTTTGCTTTGAGAAATAAAGTACTCAAAAAATACCTTAAAATGAAGTAATAGACAAATAATTTTAAGAGCTTTTCAGGCAGGTGTCAACAAATATTGCGGAATGCGGTATCATTTAACACTGTAAAACAAACATATTATAAAATCAATTATGAATAGAAAATTTTAATATTCAATCCGATTTTAGATATATCCGACAACACATCAACATCGATCATTGTGCATCCGTTTCTTAATAAGTCTCTTAATTCACGAATATACATGTATATGAAAAAAATTAAAAAGAAAATAAAATGACAAATACTTACAATAAGCTGATCGAGAGATTGCGAATCAACATATGCTTTACAATTTCAACTCTTACATTTACGTTTTGCTTAAAAATGGTATGATCATAAACTGGTATTAAACAATGGCATTATTATGGTTCTTGATGTATCTATTTTATTTTTTCTAATGTTTCAAGAAATACGTACCTGCAGAAAACGTATCATTAATTTTCGAGTCAAGATCAGAAACAGTGAAGTAATCATCACAAGTCAAGGTTACAACTGCAAAGACTGCAACAATAACATAGAATATAAAGAGAAATATAAAAAATGTAATAAATAGAAAGATATTATCAAGAGGTACAACATTTATTTAAAAGTTTTATAAAATATATCCATAGAAATAAGTTGTTCAAAATACGCTCACTTTTTTCAATAAAAAACAGTCTTTAGATAATCGAGGCGTTCCGTGGAGGAGATCAACTAAAAAAAGCCAGTGACGTCACTTGGAAAATACTTGTCTTCTTTGCAAAACGAACATTTATATTTGAAAATATATCTGCTTTGCCTGAGAAAAAGTTGTTTCTATGTAATCAATTTGTGTGATACAATGGTTGAACGTATTTATGAAACGTTCTTGAAGGATTGTGATAGATACAACTATCAGTACTTCTGTGATTCCATTATAATTTGTACTTAAACAATGTTTAAAACTAAACAACTAAAAAATGTCAGTGACTGTCGTGTAACAGTCAAGACAGAAATACACTAGTAAATGGCTGAACAGTTTCAAAAGATATACTTAGATTTTTTAGAAATTCTTCTACATGATTTTGTATTCTTCAGTAATATCTCAATAAATGAAGCTAAATTATAAGTGTCAATTTGTCTTGACGGCCAGCTTCAACACTTACTGAACCTTTAGAGGTACTATATATTGATTGAAAGTAGTAAATTCAAAGTATAAGTTATTATGTATTGATTACAAAAAATAAATAAAAAAATAAATAAATGAAAAAAAAACAACAACAAAAAACAAAAACACTTACCTTTGTTCTTAGAAATGACACCAAGGAACAAAACTAAGAGAAATAAACCCATTTCTGTACTTAATGACTTCAAGTAAAACAATTTATTGCGTTTAAACTGTGTAATCCTATAAAAGTATATTAGAATTACATAATAAAATAAATATTTTTCAAATAAAATAATTACATTTTTAAATTGAAACTGGAGTTATTTTCTATATTCAAACTTACAATAATGCAATAGATGCATTTCTTTAAAAAAGTTTCAAGATTATCACCTTTTTTTAAAAAAAATTAAAATTCATAACCGTACTTTTAAATTATTGTGTTTATGCGTATATTATCCCAGTATAATTAGAACCCAACTCTTTAAAGTTCTTTAAGGTTTTATAACATAAACTTTACACAAATTGCCATATAATACTAAGCCTTAATTTATACCGAAACTATGTTTGACTTACATCGAAATGAAACTAAATATGATAAAAAACCAAACTATTTGCCACTTACATATAAATTTAAATTTACTATTTTCGTTCTTATCAATATAACGTTTCCTTTAAAAAGCTTTTAGAACATATAGTCACGTGAAGAAGAAGAAGACGAAGAAAAAGAAGAAGACGACGACGAAGAATAAGAAAAGAAAAAAAAAACGGTTTAATACACATAGTTACCTGTTTCTAAATTACTAATTACATGCGCTTTTCCTATGGATCAGTAAAGTAAAACATTAACACACATTTTTTTGTTCGATGTAACAATAACACATATTAATAAACAGTTCCTTAATCAATATATTTTTATGGGGTGGCTCTAACAAACTAAGCGTAGGTAAGATAACTAATAAGGGACTACTTATCTTAAACTTTGACATGGAATATACGTAATCAAATATTGAAATAGAAAAAAGATACATTTCCTTTATTACATACCTTATTAAATGCCCCGGAGCTCGATTTGATATAATAATGGTTTTAAGGTATATACTGTGCATTTTCCTTACATAATGTTTTATGTAAGTGAAACAAAAACAACATATATCTCGATTCGAATATCTTAAGTTGGCAATCAAACCAAACTATAATTACTAAATCTATCATAGAATCATTATAAAAGTTTTGCAATTTTTATATATTAACCAAATTGCTTTAAATTTGAGCAAACGTTTAAATTAATATTTCATTGGTGTATATTTCAGTTTAAACACCGTCTGGTGAATTTATATTACTTTTTGTAAAGCTTTGAATGATTGAGTAGTACACCCTATTGAAATTATTTGGAACCTTTCTCGTAGTAAGCTTGAAAGCCATCATATTGATACAGCAGTATTTTTGTAACATAAAACCAGCTGAAATAATAGAACTGACTAAGTTAAACTAAAAAAAGAAAAGTTGATTAGTCAATTAAAATATTTAACTACATTTGATTTATTGTGACGTTAATCATCCTGTCAATATGTAAATAACACAAAAAAAGAGGTTGTAAGTTATAATGTATGTATGTATGTGATTGAAGTCTATTTACAGATTGAGATTAGTCAGTCCTCCGTACCCACTATCACTTAACTGAGATTTACAATTTAAAGTCAGTATATTGACATAAGTGTGTAAACATCTTTTAAAACATATAAAAAGATAATTCCCCAAAACATATAACAATTATATGTATTATGTTCTCTATTTGATATGTAACCAACGTTAACTTAAAGGAGAATAATCTCATTATCTTTCAATTAATTATTTCAGTAGATGCTATTTAATCTTTAAATATTATTTTTACTTCGCTTTACTCAATCATCTTATATTAATAATAATATTTAACAAATCTCTGTTCTCTCGTAATTGAATTAAAAAGAAACTTAATCTTTGTTTTCTCGTATTATTAACTGACAAACCGCATCACCAGTTTCTAACACAATGTTTTATGATTTTACAAAACATCTACGTATTCTTATAATTTCAAAATCTCCGCTGTCTCATGATTTAAATAAAAGAACCCTAACCTTTGTTTTCTATAATCTGAAACTAATATCCGTTATCCCATATTTATAAAACATAATACTTCTTTTTGTCATTATTGAAATAAAACTAATCTCCGTTCTCTGATTTTTGGGAAAATACTAACCTCCGTTCACTAATAATTTTAAGGGAATGGGGCCGAGTTTATAAAGAAATATTCTAATCTCTTACTCAATCTCTCAGGTATTTGATTTGTCAGAATCAGATACAGAATGTGAATTGACCAATGAAAATCCTGAGATTTGAGCTTGGTCTCAGGAAATATATATTTTCTTTTATAATTGAAAACAAAAAGAAAGGAAATCCATTATTTCATAATTGTAAGAACAAAACTTCTCAGTGGTCCCTCATAATTGTATAAACCTTATTTCCGTTTTCATTTTTTTGTAAAATCCCCTTTCTCCAACGGGGAGAATTACGTAACTTTATTAATCTTCAACAAATAGTAACAATAATACTGGTGAAATTTACTACCCTAGACATATTCTAATAGCAAAAAAAATAATGTATCGTAATTGGAAATTCAAAATGTTAATATTATCACAATTTTCTAAATTTGCGTTAAACTTAGGATTTGCAGAAAAAAAATCAGCCAATTTTTTGCATTTATGTTGTCAAAGAAGCGTTTACAAATTAAATTGAATAAGTCCTCTGACATTAGAATGAAGCTGTCGTAGCTATATTTTGTAACTCAATTTATCTAATCAATTACAAATACATTTATACATTACACATTTTTTCTTTGAATTTTTAAAATGACACAGATAAAGATCAAACAAAATTTTCTTGGTCACTTTTTTCGAAATTGTCAAATTGATGTCGACATATTCTTGCGTTTGCAGCAATGATGGCTTTTGGACAAAAAGGGTCAACACTTTTCTTTCTAAGAATGATGCTTTGTTCATAACAGGAACATTTCTCTGTTGACGAACATGCACTTTTCCATGTAACTGCCTTAGTTATATTTACTTAACAAAGTGTTTCCTTACTCGCAATCGTACCCTCTTCTCCACTTAAAAACCATAACTCTTAAACATTCAGCGATGTTTATTCTAATCTCTATGTCCTTCACATGGATGTCTAAATTAATCTTTTCCTGGGAATGTCTTATTTATATAATTATTGCAGTTAGGGCAAACTATATATCAGAAGTTATTCGCTTTTATATGCTACAACTGCCGATCATATTAAGTTAAGTGAGCTACCTCCAAGTAGTTACTTCACACAGGAACGTCGTGTTCAACACTTGTTTTTAAATTAATTGTTTTAAGTAATGCGTGAAATAAGTCCCATTGTCATTTAGCAGATTTAAAATTGGTACGCTTTAATAAAGTCTGTTTTTGAAAAATAATAATAAAAGTAAATGGACAAACAAATAAAATACTACATGTAGCAACTATTTACAAAAAGAATACCATAATACCTCAAAAATCTAGACGCGATTAGAAAATCAAAGGGTAGTAAAGACTAGAAAATAACCTTCAGATTCTGCCAAATTTTCTTTCTTCCTACAATGACATAAAGCCTATTGCAAATAATTTGTTAACAGAAGTAATTCATTATCATTACGTATCTGTATCAAGTATTCTACACAGCGTTCAGAGTGCTGCAAACAAATTTCAAGGTCGGATACATTGCCAAGATACTAGTATTATCGACATTAACATGATGTACAACAGCAAACAAGAGTTTAAAAACAACATTGCCAACATAGAAATATCATAACATCCCTACACAACCATGAACCATCTTTTTGATAATATTCGGAAGATAACGAAAATATACGTTAAATAAATTGAAATTTGTAAAGAAGTTCCTTATTGTAAACTCTTACTAGCATATACAGAATTATACAATCTTAAAAATATATTCTGAAAAACATCAATTTTTATCTGTGAAGGACATTTCACAAAAAAAAAACCACCTTATTACTATACTAGGTACAAAGAATCGTATATTTTTGTTAGAGAGATGGCAAATCTAAATTAATTTTGACATGCCAGCATAAGATGACGATGATCCAAAAGTCAAACAAATATTTGTGTTTGATGACCTTTTTACTGAAGCTGACTTTAATCGCCGGAGGGTCCAATCATCGTTCCCTATCATTTAATCCCTTTAATTATAATTTGTATTGTTAGTAAGTTCAGTATTTTGTACCTTTATTACCCCCAATATATTATCAAGTATTTACGACCTTGGTGAGCCAGATATACTCTTGGCAGATAAAAATATTTTGAACAAGTTGTCTTAAGCCATTTTTAGTACCAAGACGA